TGCTCTCCTCCATCTCCTACGCGCACAAGGAGAGCATGGTCCAGGGGGACCTGCCTCTGCCACAGGCCAGCCCCATGGTGCCGGCCCGCGGCCACAGACAGAACCCACTCCTGTGCGGGAGTGGGGAGCAGGGCTTGTCCTCCTACCCGGCCCACTCGGCCTCTCTCATGAAGAGCAACACTTTGTACCACCCGTCACCAGCCAGTCACCACCCTGCGGTCAACACCAGTGCCTTAGCTAATCCTGTCAGCCTTATGAGCTTGCCCAGTGACACATGCAGCATGACAACCATGCCGCACCATGGGCATCTGCATTCCTACGCTAATAACCAAGGGGCACACATGAGCTTGCTGGATTCACTGCAGGGCCCCTACCCAGGGGCTGTCCATCCCCCTGTGTTGGGCCAAGACAGGTTCCCAGCAGACCTGGACCTGGATATGTTCAATGGGAGCTTGGAGTGTGACGTGGAGTCAATTATCCTGAATGACTTTATGGACAGCGATGAGATGGACTTCAACTTCGACTCAGCTCTTCCACCACAGAACGCACTCAACATGCCCACACTGCCTGGGGGCCCGCAGCCCACTAATCAGAGCTGGGTACCTGGGTGATACACGCCCAGACACTCGCCACCGAGAAGTCACAAGGGGAACATTGAAACTAACTTTTTTTTTCCTTTCTCTTCTGCCTTTATTTGTTAAGATGGGCTAGAGCCATCTGTTTAAACTTGAGATCAACACTAAACACAAACCATAGGGTCAAACATTGATACAGGTGTAGGGTTTGGCCCCAGCCCCTAGCCAGCCAGATGGGAATGGCTGGGCATACCATGAAGCTAGTGCCCGATCTGCTGGGGTCCGCTGCCCTGTCAGGTCATCCTACTAGTGCTCACTGGAGGAAGCAGGGTGAGCAGGTGGGAGAGGCAGCTGAAACCATGCGTGGTTCCCCAGGGCATGCATGGGGGAGCAGGAAGGACAAGCCTTTCCAGACAGTCCAAATGCCCCACTGTGCTGGTGTTGGTTTGATTTCTCCTTGTGTCAGTTGTCCTTGGGCTGGGTGACGGAGCGGTGATGGCTGGAGGTGTAGGACCCCCCTATGTGGGCATTGCCAGTGAGCCCCTGTCTGGAAAGAGACCCCTTTGTCTGAGCCACCTCAGGAAATTAAGTCTCCAAGTGGAAGTGTCAGGAGCAGGAAACCTGCTCCAGGGTAAGGGACTTCATCACCATCTAGATCCTTATGGGGATCTGAGCTCTGTGGAGCTCAGCCCTCAGGCTCTTCTGCTCACACACCCAAGCCATGTCCACTGCAGCAGTTTCCTGCAGTTTGTATGGCTCTAGACAGGTTTTCTTACCAAATAGTGAGAAGGTGGGGGGGTTGATGATGGAGGGAAGGGTATGATCTCTGCAGCAGTAGCAGCTGGGCCAGCATTTTGGCAGCCAATGCATGCACCAGCCTATTTTAATGCTAGCCAGTGGCTCTGGATGCTGGATGCCATGGTCACAGGCACGTATGTCTGCAGGAAAACAGTAGTACCAGGCACTGCCCGCCCAAAGCACATGTGTGCACACTCTTGCGTGGTACACCGCTCTGCCTGCCCTGGCACACACGCAGGGGCTGTGTGTGGATGTGGCCCTGCTGGGAGTGACATGCTGCTAGTCTGCATCCCCTGTGCCAGAGGCAGGCCAGGGGGACCTCATAGGGTCGGGGGGGAGGTGTATTTATTTGATTTCATGCACTCTTTTGCTATTGAATTACTACATTGGAAGAAAGAGTCCAGCTTAGGGAGGGAGGAGTAGAAGGCCCATGGGCAATGCATGTGCCCATCACAAGTCCCATCTTGGCTCAGCCCATGGCTTTGGGTGTTTGGTGCTGGGGCCATTAACATAAGTTGGGGGACTATGATGTGGATCATCCTTGGGAAGGGTGTGTGTGGGTGTGGGTGTGGGTGTGGGTGTGGGTGTATGTGTGTGTGAGGAGAGATGTTGTGGCCAGGTCTCTAGAGAGAGCATAGTGTCTGCCCTACCACTCGTGAGGGATCCCAGGATTGCCCGGCCACTGACCCACGCTACTTGCTCCTATGCTCCATGTACAGGATGCAGAGAGGTGCCACAGGGCTCACAGCCATGGTGGGAGCTCCTGAAGGTCATTAACTGTTCCAGGAATGACTCCAGCCCATAGCCAGCATGTCTATTCCTGAGGGCTCACCATGCTGTACCTGGGCGGGTAGGAGAGCTGGTCAGGGCAGAGAGGCCAGGGAGGATGTCAGCAATAGTGAGCCAGGCCTATGGGCTCTGCAAATGCCTTGATTCATCAGTCCACTAAAGGCCAGTGCCCCAAGGGGACTTGCACCATGATTTTAAATGTAGCCCTGTTGTGTGTTGGGAGCCTAAGCCTGCCCCACACTGTTCTGCAGGGCAGGGATGAACCACAGCCCTGGGCTCATGGACCCGTTGCCATCCTGCACAGCTGAGGTGAGGGCTCCCTGCTCCGGTCTCTGCTCCTGCCTGGTCTTTGGAGTGGAGCATCCAGGCAATCTCATGGGCAGCTGGAGAGGAGCTCCAGGGGCTGGGAGAAAAGGGCTCTGGGAGCTGCTGCTGTATCCTATTGGGCTCTCTGCACACAGCCTGCCTTCCTTTTGGGTATCACAGGCTTTCTCTTAACCCTCCTGACCCTGGATTGCAGCAAAGGTTATTCTACTGGATTGGCATGTTTCCCGTGCCCAGCTCTTCCTTTACCACTGCAGCATGACCTTGTGTACCACGGTCGAGGTGAAGAGTCCCACTGAGCCATAGGGAAAGGGAAGCTGCTCAGGGCTGGGGCAGTGTGGGACCCGCGGGTGGGTACCCTGACACTTCTCTCCTGATCCATGCCTGGTATGTGTCTGTGGCAAAGTGTGACAGAGGAGCCCCATGTGCCACCACTTTACCCCGGGCACATGGTGGGCATAGTCTCTAAAGACATTCTTACAGGTTAATTATGTTTACATTATTTGATCATGTACAGAATTTAATATATTCTATTATATATAATCTTTCTTGAATGCTTTTTTAAAAAGGATTATTCTTTGGTCAAGATAATTACTGCATTCATTTTATACACCACTTATCGTTTCAGGCATATTTAAATCATTGGAAACCGATTACAATTGCAAGTGGCTATTTAATACCTGGCACCCCAGCTCTGCACATGGGGTGCGAAGCACTGTTAGTGAAGAGAGGTAGGGAGGGCATATGAGGCTGCCATGGGAAAAAGGGTGTTCTGCCCCCCAAACGAGGGAGCAAGGGAAGGTGCCCTGACTCTTCCAAGTAGCTGATCTTCAGGCACACATCCAGCAGCACACCAGCATGCAGGGCAGTGTAGGCAAGTTGGGGCTCACCCAGCTGATCAGGCTTTTACAGATGGGTTGACTGGAGGAGCCAGTTTCAGGGCCTCCTTTTCCACCACTGTGGGTCCTCTGCTCCCGGAATGACATTTTTACTCCTGTTGCTGGCAGGGAGCTGAGCTCTGACTCCATGTTGTTTAGGCGCAGGGACCCTCAAAAGTCCCAGTGAGCCCTTTAGTGTCACAGATATCAGCCATCCATTGATGTGGAGGGGAAGCCACACCAGCAGTAAGAGAAAGCCCCCCTGTCCCATGCCTGCCCTACTCCTCCCCGCTCGCCTCACCCTGCCCCGCAGTGTGGTGCACCTGGGCATCCACCCCCAGGGCACGTCTTATTGCAAAGGTGTCTTTGTGGTTCGTGACCGTGGGGTTGTCGTGTGTGCGGTGGAATCGTGTTGGTAAGCGTCGTGTGCGAGGGACAGCGGGCAAGGGGAGGCAGAAAGCAGGCACAGAACCGGGCAGGCCCAGCTGTTGCCCCAGAAGGGACTGGAACCCCAGAAGGTGGGGTGGGCAGGAGCCAGGGGTGTGTGGCTGCAGGAGGAGGTGAGACGGGCTGGCCCCGTAGCTGTGGAAGGGAGTGGAGCCAAGGGGCTGGGGCATGCCTGGGCTATGTTCCTACCAGCACGTAGGGAACCGTGCCCCGGTGCCATGTCCGGTGCAGGGGTGATGGGGCTGAGCTTTGTGCATGTGGGCAAGGTAGATCTCCTGCAGAGCCAGGAGGGTGGCTGGCTTGGCCGTTCCCTTCACAGCTCTCACCACCCTGCTCCCAGCACTGCTATGAGCATGGAGAAGGGGAAACTAGGGCTTTATTCCAGTATCTGGTGGGGATGGAGCCAGTATCAGAGGCTCAAGGTTTCATCTCTGGAAACAGCTCCCCAAGCACAGGCCACCTCATGTGCCGCCTCACTTGGCTTTGGCCTCCCCACCCCATCTCCCCTTCTCCCTCCTGGCCTCTGCTGATCCTGTACATCCCTGGTGGCCCTGTTTCTACCCCACAGGACAGCCTTTTGGGGCAGGGAGCACCCACCTGCTCCTGGCCGTGCTCCCAGTGAGCCCGAGCCCTGCCCAGAGCAAGGAGCCAGGGCTGAGGGGACACTGAAGGGGCCCCACTGGTTTGCTTCATATGGCGGTTTTGGTTCGTTCTTTCCCTCGTATTTATAACTGTACAGACTGGGGGGGAGGGTCTCTGACAGGCGTCATCTCTCACCACACATCTATCGTAGGCAATGGTAACTTTCTTGATTGTGCTATTAGAGTTTGTGTATGTGGCAATGTAAAGAACTGTGTATAGTGCATTGTACAGCATATTTTCATGAATAAAATTGTTTTAAATATTACAAGGCCGGGCTGCTAGCTTCAATGCTTGTGTGTGTCTGGGCCAAGCTTGGAGGGACAGTGCTGGACCAGAGGGTGAAGCTGGAGGGAGCTGGGGACCTCTCCTGAGCCCACTGAAGAAAAGACATGATGTTTAGTCAAATGGAGCTTGCCCCGCACCAGCGACAGTGGGGCTGTGCACTTGGACTGGCTGAGCTGTGCTGTGGAGATGTCAGGGTAGCCCTGCTTGGTGAGTCCCTTTATAGGGGACAAGGAGAGTGTCCTCTGTCTCTGTTAGCCTGGGACTCAGGCAGTGGAAGTAGTCTGGCCCTGCCAAGCCCTGCCCAGGAGAGGCTTTCCCTGTGCCAGAGCCTTTCCAGCCAGGTCATCTTGGGTGTGTTGCTGCTGGGGATTTAAAAAGACCCACCATCCCAGCCATAAGAACAGGGATAGGTACCAAACTCATCACATATGCCCAAAACTTGTGCCAGCCTGTGGGAAAAATAGTTTTCTACATTATCTTGACATTTTTATTGATTTATATATGTATGTGTGTGTGTATATATATATATATATATTTAACTGACTTTAAACTTTTACGAATACTTTCTAAGACTGACAGTCTGCCTCAGCATCACTGCACCCCTGTGCTGCCTGGTGCACTCACGGGTGACTCTGTCTAGCTGAGTAGAGGTGCATGTGCTCTGCACCCACTGCTCTACTCCCCTCCGATCCCTGGTGAGGCTCCTTGGGCACAGCCCCAGCCTCTGGCCTGGAAGTCCCCTTTTCAGCAGCTTTTTGAGTTACTTGGACTGTAATTCACCCCTCTTGTGGCTGAGTTTAGTTCCCACCCTGGGTAAAATTCCCAAAGCCTCTGAAGTGATTAGAGAATGTGGCTCCCGTTTTGGCAGACACTTAGGGTCTTGAATGTGGGGAGGATTCAGAGGGCACCCATGGGAGAAGGTCAAGAAAATTCCACGGATCATCAACCTGCACTGTCCTGTGGGTTGTATGCTGGGTTGCACAGCTGCATCTCAGTGGGTAGGCAGTCCTTGAGGAGGGGAAAGGTGTCGAACCGACTGCGAGGAGATCAGACAAGATGGACCAAGGAAGGTTTGGGAATGTCTCCCTGGGGGTTCAGGGCTTGTGTTCACGGGTGTGTCCTTGCTCTAAGACTCTATGCTAGAGGTGTGGGGCTGATGTGACTGGAGAACATTGTCCCATGTTGGCTAGCATAAGGTCTGTGCAGTGTAGGGGTGTTGCGCTAGATCCTACCTCTTTTACCATCCTCCAAAGTCTCTGCAAGGCCAGCTTTTGGATTGGCTTCTGGTGTGTGGTCCCTCCAGTTGCCCTGAAAAGGGGACTTATGCTTCCAAGGGGCTCTCCAGTGCTTATCAAAACAGGATAGTTAAGGTGAAGCACCTCTGAGGTGCCTGCAGGCCCAGAAAGCAGAATACTGCCCTGCAGTCAGGCAGCGAGTAGGCCAAGTGGACAGTCTACTGCAGAAACCCCTGAGCCACACGTGACTCTCTCAGCTGTGTGACCAGCCAATGTCTCCACCTCATCCTGCCTGCTCCTCCAGCAGATTTTCAGGTGCTTTCTCTGAGTTCTCTGCAGGGAGGGTGGGACTCACTGGATGAAATGATGGTCCTGCTCAGGCCCCCTTCATCAGCATCTGAGCTCCTGGTCCAAGGCAAGACTTCTCCCTTGATAAGCAGCTAAAAGAAAGGTGTGGAAACTGAGGCAGGCACAGTGCCTCTAAAACCTATTTCAAAATATTCTCACTTTCTCCACACCTGTGCAGTGTTCAGTGTTCATGAGGAAGGAGTCAGCGTACACAGCTAAAAACATCTGAATTACATGTCTTGAGTCTATTGCACTTGTAGGGCATATGGCCAACCTCCCAGTGTCACCACAGCCACTAGCTGATGTTGTAGGTAGGGCATCTTCTTTTTTTCCTGCTCTTGTGGACCCAGCGCTGGGCCCGTGCCACAGCCATGCACCAACGCTCAGGCACAGGAGTTCTGGTGAGGAGACTTGAGAGACGCAGTTCTTGTCCACTGATTGTCTTTTTTATTTCAGTGGAAAAGTCAGCAGCGTGGCAGAGTGGAAATGTCTCACAGGTCTTCCGAAAGATGTCTCATACCTCTGTAGACTGGTTCCTAGGCATCAATCCTGGACAATTCCTGGATTTTCCTGTAAGATAATGTGATTAATTTGGAATTCAATTACCACAGGCCAGGATGGCTTCATGGAGAATCAGGTTGCAGTTCCTGTCACAGCTCTGAGCTTGGCTGGCTGAGGGAGCCACATGGCTCCACATTGTCCTTTTTACCATGCGAGCATGGAATTGTACACTTTTACAGAACCCAGGTGGGTGGCATTAGGGCAGCTCCCACTGAGCTGTGACCCAAGGTTTGAGTTCAGGGCAGCTGCAAGGCAAAGCACCATTGGCACTGAAAAAGCCATGTGCTGACCGAGAGGAAGGGGAGAGATGCCAGCAAGGAACCCCCCTTGTGGAGCCAGGCACCTTCTGCTGGCACTGTCAACTGTGAGGAGTAAGTGACAGACAAAGCAGGTGCCCATGGCTCATCCAAGTGCAGACAGCCAGGTTTGTCCCAGAGTTTCCCTTCCCCCAGCCAACCAAATCGAGTTGAAAAGGAGCAGGTGCAGCTGAAGGTCCACCTGTCACAAGGGGCTCATGTGCGCTAGTGCTCTGGCGTTGTGTGTGATGCTGTCATGGGGCATATGGGCCTCCAGAGGACCTGCCACGGCTGTTCTATGGCGTGTGGTGGAGCTGTGTGCACCCGGGAGCTATTTCAGAGACAATAAGCTTGCACAGGAGAAGAGTTTGGAAAGGGGGTGTCTCTATGCGGCTGGAGGAATTTTGATGCAGAAGGACCTTTCTGCCTGTCTGAGAGGGAAACAGAGGGGTCCTTGGACTCTGGCTGGGCTTTGTGGGCCTGCCATTTGCCAGGAGATTGTCATGGGACAGGATATAGCATTCACCATCCAGAGAAGGCAGGAAGAGTGTAACCAGGTGTTATTTGGGGAAAATCACCAGGAACTAGGTGTTTTTCATAGGTTTCCACCGGAATTTGTGCTTGACCTAAAGCTTCTCAGTCTTCCTTATAAGGAAACTTATAACATAACACAAGATCCCCACTGACAGCCTCTGCAGAGGCTGGGGACTAGCAAGACAGAATAATCACAGAAAGCAATCAGATATGGGTCCCAGCTTAACACTGTGTAGGACCAAGGAGCAGAGCCTAAGCTGCTGTAATCAGGTCCATGCCACTAGAGATGCCAGGAAGTGTTTGGGGGCCAGAGCAGCTCACCAAGAGTTCCCACTGCAAGGCAGGGGTCAGAGTGACTGCAAATGAGGCCTGGAGGAACAGGGATCCCCTTCAGCACATGGCAGAGAGATGGACATGGGACTGCCACAGTGTGCCTACAGGACCATGTATTGAGAGGAAAGTGAAGCTCTTTCAGAGCACCGTTTCTCAAACAGATGAGGGAGATCATGGGCACCAAGCTGAGCACAGAGCATGCAAGGACAGCACAGCCCAGAACGAGCTACTGAAAACTGACACAAAGGCAAATCACAGCTCAAAAGAAAACCCTCTTTTCCCCTAGAAATAAATGCTAATCACTCTCACAAAGGCAGGGCTAAACTTCCCTCCATTTTCTGAGTCCAAACTTTCCTGCATATAATGGGGCCAGGAGAGAAACTGGGTCTGGGGTTGTTGACAGCCCACACAGGCTGTTGGGCTTTTCTATGCTTATGCTTGGAGAGCTGAGGACTGCTCCGTGACTGGTTGGTGGGTCCCCTTGGCTTCCCAGGCAAGGGCTGAGCTCAGGCCATGGCCTGGTGTGGTGTGCAGGATACTAGCTCCTCTGGATTGGCTATGCCCCATGGGTTCCTGCATCACTGGAGATATGAAACCATCCAGGATGAGTCATGGTGCTGAGACTAGAGAAATGACTGCAGAAAATACCACTACCAGCATCCTGGAGGAGGTGTAACTTCTATTCACATTGTCCCGTTCCATGGGCAATATTAGTCCTTCGGCTGCAGTCTCATGCCAAGTG